TGGTGGTTTTTTTTGTGTGGTTTTTTTTTTTTTTTTAAATGTGAAACTTAGGAGGGGAGAAATTAAACTTTGATTTCACAGTTTGGAGCCCTGTCTTTATTTTCATAGAAGCTAAATACACCATGTTCAAATATGATTTTTTTCTTCTATTTTTTGACTAGGAACCAAAGGTCTTAACAGAAATCAATCCATGCAATTTATTTTTAACTTCACCCTGCTTAGCTACGATTGATTTTTATCTTTGCGATCGATGGTAGAGAAAACGGCTTGATGGGACAATGGAGCACTCTCCAACTTGTAGGGTTTGGTGTTTGAGTCTTTTATTGAAAAAATCATTAAAAGCTTATTATGAAACTAATAGGATGAAGACGTTTAAATGATGAACACGATTACACCTGTTTTACTACTGAATAATGCCTGCTACAGCTGATCTTCTCTTTCCCCTATTTAAAATGCTGGACAGCACTCCAGTGGGGGGAAATTAATCCATACAGATGAAAGAAAGTGCATCCCAGGTGCTAGTTGAAAGCTCTTCTTAAAGCAAGACAAGCAGTAAGTAGTTTGCCACTTTCCTGTTCACTGCTGGGTCAATTTTTAGCACTGTTTCATCTTTGCTGTCCCAAATATCAGATTTGGAACTTGAACCTAAATATCTGTTGATTAAAAAAATGATTAACTTTTTCCTTTATTTAATTATTTGACTTTGTTTCTAGGGCTTTTTGTGCTGTACTTTCTTTCATCACTCTTCCCCCTCCCCTCATGTTGTCTGATTTATCAGCAGGATTACCTTGGCAGACTGGTGTGTCTCCTCTGAAATCCTTCAAAAGGAGACTTAATATGTACAATTATGCTCCTCCTTTAAGTTGGTTTCTGTGTGGGCTATGTGCATTTGCATCTCTAATGTGGCTCGTGATGTTTTGTTACCATGCACATTTTCTGCAGGTGTTGCTTTTAAAACAAATCCAGTATATTCTCTCAAGATTACTGGGTCTTATAGCTGTGCTATCATAGCTCTGAAGGGAGAGAGAATTGACAGGGGACTGGGCCAGTATAATAACTGCTCCTTTGTCTTAGCAAAGTGATGGGTCTGACACTCTATAAAGTGGCATGTTTTCAAAACCTGCTGAATTTGCCAGGCAGCTTGAGGGTGTTTTGCACACAGAAACATTAATCCATATGTCTCTGCAGCATAGAGAGACAAATCTCCTCGCACTCGGGGAATTGCATATTGCTTTAATGACTATACAGAAGGTATGATATTAATGAAAACCACGGGGGGATATTTCAGACTAGATGGTACCTATCATTATGTCATTTATGCTGGGGCAGTAGAGGACCTCAGTACACAGAAATATCTGGAAGATGGTTTGTACTGACCGTGGTGGATCATGAGGAAAGAGGAACATTACACTAGGCTTGTGCAGACGTGTTCTTCCTCATCTCCTGAATTTCTTGTGACTGGCTTTGAGGTTAGGTTTGGGAAAGGAGGCACAAATTTTCAATCCTCATACTGACAAATCTGTGCAAGGCCTAGACAGTGGCTGGCTCTGAAAAACACCAAAATCCCTCACTAAAGGTGTGAGCATAGCATCCTGCCTGCTTAACTTGTCCTCACTTGCCCATGCTTTAATCCACCATCTGATTTTGTGGATTTTATGCCCAGAAAAAGGGGGAAAAGGGTACCTAAGGTTAAAGCAGCGAGGAGGGATGCCCGGGCACCCTATGGAGGTGGAGAGCACAGATCCAGGATGCCCTTACAACGCTGATACATGGTTTCTCAAATTTTGGCTTCTACCAATCATTTCATGTTACTGAGAAAGAGTGAACTCTGCAAGCAAAGGAAGTTGCTCCAGGAAGAAAGTGAGGGGTTTATTGGAAATAATACCAAAAGACTTATTATCAACAAGGAAGTTTAGAATTTGGTTCTGTAATGGACTGAGTCACCATTTATTATGGTTTAACTGGGAGGTGAATTACAGGAATCAGAAATGTCTAAATGTGCCTGGTCATCGTGGATTGATCTGTGTTATTGGCAATTTTATTTTGCTTTTAACATTATCAACAGTGTAAAAAGTAGATGACTGGCTCCAGTAACCGCAGGGCACATTATTGTTATCATTGCAAACTACCCGGGCTGATGAACTGTGTAAGAAATAGCCCTCCCTTCTCTTTTAGGCGTTAGCTTAAAGCGTCTACTATCTGTTGCTGTTTCTCACCAAGGTTGTGCCTCTAATATGTGATGTTTCATTGTCAGCATCAGTGCATGTTCCATTAGGCTTTCTGTGAGTTCTTCGAGCAGCAGGAAGCAGGTGGGGTCTTGCTTACCCCAGGGTCGTTTCAGAGATTTAGTGATTCCATGTTTGTTACATCAATACCTGCCCGACATGGGAAATTACAGGTCCCTACATCAGCTATCTGGGAAGATGAGAATGAAGCCTGGCACACTATGATCTACAGTTCTAGGGTGTCTTTACATTCTGGAACCTCATAACACATTCTGCTTGCTTTCCAAACTCTTTTAGATGACACTTGGTTTTTTGGTTAAGCAGAAAAAGAAATAAAATTTGCCCTTAAAGAATCATATTCAGTCATTAACATGAGAAATGACTTAGTATATTTCTAGGCATATCACAGGAATTACGGAGATTAGTAGATTCCATGACATATTTTCTATAATTCGCTGCAGCCTTGTGAACATATAATCTTCTGTGTTTGATGCACTCTGTTCTGTTGCAGGTCAGGAGTGGGGCTGAGCCAGCATACTGAAACTTTCAGGGATTTTGGAAAGAAACTTCTTATGTTTCTGTTCTTAAGTGTCAACTGATGTGAAACCAAACTTTTGTCTTGAAACTGAATGTGGAAGCATTAAAGGAAAGTAGTAGATCATGAGTGGAGGGAGGAAGAAAGGATACAGAGAGAGATAATTGTGTTTAATGACAGACACATTTGTCCAAAGGAATCATTTCCATTGTCCAGAAGCCCAATTAAACACATAAAATAGAAATCCAGAAAAACAGATTAACGAACTAGTCATTAGCAAAGGAGGAGGAAAAAGACAAACCCAGCTAATTCTGTACTGAGCATGACAGATGAGCTCACAGGAAATAATTGGGTGACATTCGTCAAATGTGAATTGAAAGGAGGCATTGGAGGGCAAAACACTATCATAATCTCTGGGATTTACAGTGTTGGAGAGTTGTTCATAGGAAAAGGAAAAGTTCATCAAAATAAATTAAGTTGGGCCTTCCAAAATTCATTCTCTACCACAGTGCTTGCCAAAACTTTATTGAGGGCTTGATCAGTTTTTGGAGCTGTTATAACCGTGCATGTAAATCATGCAAAGATGAGGTCCTGGCTGGGAAAAGCTTCACACAGCTCCTGCCAACAGAATTGTGGGTGGCTTCATATTAACTAGCTCGGAAAGACCACAGGTCACAAAGATTTTGATTTCTAAACCTTTGTCAAGGTGACCTAGTCCAGGTAGAGGACTGAAAGAGAGTTTAGCTAATGCATAGTGAACCTGAACAGTGTTTGAATCCTACCTTAGATTTTCATGCCTGTGTTTCCCCTTGACTTTAACTGTATGTTGTCTGTGTGGAGTTCGTTTGCTGTGATATGGGTCATTCTTCTGCCTTCATACATGGTGTGTGGTATAATGGTGGTTGTTGTTTTCTTCTGGGAGCTCTAAATGCAGTTATGATAACATTACAAGTAAAAATGGGAAACAAGCAGAAGGGGAAGCCTTAGTGTAGAAGCCTGTCCTATTTCTAAACCTTCTTTTCTTTCACGTTCTTCAAACTATCAATAGAAAAACCTTATCTTGAGTTGATTAGATATCAAATTTCATTACCAGTATTATTGTGTCCTTCGCATGACAGCTTCTCTAGGGAAGAAAGCCCCTATCTAGAGGTGATATCATTGCTGAGAATATAATTGATGCTATAGCAATATTCCATGTAAGTTCATTCTGAAATATCACTGTCAGATAAAAGGAGATATATCTAGGAGAGAATCTAGGGCCTTTCTTTTAGCTTTTTTGGAAACTTATGAAGCCAACTAATGACATACGATAAAATAGAGAAGTGCTTTTTGTATTGTTTTATCTTAAAACCTGCAAGACTGCCAAAACAGCAGAATATAGGAAATTCACTGATGTAAGCTGTGTCATAGCCAGGCCTGAAATGGTGCCAGAAAGAACACCCACAGCAAGAGTAAGTGGCTGGTGACAGGTTTAAAATCACATATTTTACAAATTATCAGGGCTAGATCTCATCGATGCATGGCAATAATGTGTAGCCTTTACAGCTCATTCAGTCCATAAACCTGCAGATTTTGATGTCTATCAGTTCCCCCCATGCCCTCGTTCAGAGACATTCAGAAACGGTATGATTTCAGAGAAACTGGTTTTATAGTGACAAAGAGCATCTAAGAGCTTAGCTCCAGCTTTCCAAGACCGCATTCCTTGCATTTACTGTTTGCATTGTGTGGTGCTAGTGTGGATCTCTGCTGTTAGTCACCGTAAAACGTTGTTGGAAGACAACCCTGGCCCCAGGGGACTTATAGTGCAAACAGACAAGGCTGAAAAACAGCAGACAAAAGAGGTATTATCTCCTTACAGGAGAGGAAGAGAAGCACAGAGACTTTAAATGACTTGCCCAAGGTAGTTGTGCTGGAACCATGTGATGAAACCAGATCATCTTCTTTCTTCCACTCAGTACCTTAAGCTTTATACCCACTTTCCCATTTTCATGAGATGTTAAAATCGTGCTGGATTTGAAGCATGAGAGACGGAATGGAAAGTTCAGTAGCACAGCTTAAATAAATAATGCTCCAGCTCTCTCAAGTCTGGGATTTCTTTGGAGTTACAGAGGTGCTTTTAGGAACAGCTGTGCAGGTCATAGAAAAGATATCTGAAAGAAAGGTTTTCAAACCCTCTTTAGAGGTGTCAGCATAGTGTGTCTTGGAAGGGTCATCACTCACTTTCTTTGATGTTTCCACAGGTGACAGCTGGTGGAAGAGCAAATTACTATGTGTCATACAGGCGGGAGCCTTTCACACAGATTAAATTGCCCAAATACTCTCTTCCTAAGGTGAGTGCACCTTTTATGAACACAGACGTAGTATCTTCAATAGCACAGCCTGCCCAGTGGTGAAGCACCTCAGTGGGGTTCCTCTCTGGGGAGCTCCATTTGTTGTGCTACTTGAATGATCTTTCTTAGACACAGATTCTGGATCTTTACCTCTCTCTGCCTTTGATTAGTGAGTGTTCCAGGAAGAGTGGTTTCTTTTTTCCTCTGTAAAGAGCAAATGGGAATGAACAGGTATCTGAGAAAACAAAGCTCAAATCAACTTCACCTTGACCAGTCTTCTGTGAACACCATTCCCCAATCCTACTCTGTTCTCTGTTAATGATTTCTCTGTAAGCCTGGCCATGACACTGAGGGTCCTGGAGAACAGTTAGGATGCTGAGCACTACTGCAGTCTCCATAGAATGAGAGAAGTAGAGGGTATAGCAGCTCCACTGTCCCCATCCTGTGTCTGGATGTTTCCAAGAAGTCATGAACGTGGAGTTGGCTCCCTAAAAGTTGTGCCCTATCAGTGCTTTGGACACACAGAACCATGTATGCTGCTGCTTAGGATATGACTGACATGGTCTGAGATTAACACCGACTGGCAAAGCTGGGAGGAAGAAAAGTTAGTACTTCTCACACAGCTGTGCCTGGATTTGCCTTCTTGGGCCTTAACTCTACCAGATGAAAGAGTGCAAGCCTCAGCAAGGAGAATACATCCCTGGAATTACACTCAAATTCCATAGTGTAGGCATGGCTTGGGACTGTGTAGAACAGAAGGGACCAACCTTTCCAGGGCCTTGGCTGGGTGCAAGTTTCTGGGTAGCCTAATGGGCAGCTGAGACCACTGCTGCTCTTTGGAGCCTTAGAATGGCTGTTGAGGTTACTGTCACAGAGGGCTGATAATCAACAGTAATGGCCTTCCTGTTCCTTCCACAAGAAATTTTTTTTGTGGGATAATTGTAAGATGATTGGCTAGATTTGCCTTGTGGACTGGATCTACCTACCCTTCTAATTGCCTATGGGATATCTGCAGTCTAGCTGGTATGGCATATTGCTTTAGCTTGTACCTGAAAACTTAGTAGTTGTGAGAAATTTGGATCTCAAACTGCTGGTGTTGCACCTCGACTTCTTCCCATTTGGGTTGATCACAGTCCACAGTGTACAGAGACCTGCATAGCACAGATATAGTTTCTTTTGTTTTTCATTCCATGGTGATGGAGTGGGGTTAGGAATGTCTGACCACACACCAACTTTTGGAAACCCTGCTGCTATTTTTCAGGAGAAAAACATTTATGCTCCCACCTTATGGACTGTCCTTGAAAGCTGCCCCTTATTAGAACAACATGTGGATAGAGAGAGTAACTGCCCTATGACTGTGCTGCTTTATTCACTGATGCTGTCACACGTTGCTGGCCTGTTATAAGACATATTTGTTGGTGGCCCTGATTTGGAATTGGTGCATAGTATAAAATCAGGGATACTTTCATGATGTAAAAATCAAAAGTACTTTTAAGCTAGGTGCCATGGCGAAGTCTTCCAGTCATGTAAAGGAGGCTTTTTTGTGCTGCCCTTAGTCATGAGACCATTTTTGCTCTACAGTAGTAACTGTCCTGTCAGCTGTAGATTAATGAACTCCGCTGGAGTTGTACATATGTGAGGCTGACAATACCATTATGAAATATTTCCATTGCAACTGGTCAAAACAGATTGAAGTCATTGGGTGTTTTGCTTTATTTTCACACTGCTAGAATAGGTTGGGTGTGTACTTAATCTTTAAGGAATTAGAACTGTTGGGCAAGAACAAACTTCCTGATTTAGTCTTCCTTCATTGAGAGAAATGACAAATCTCCCACTGATTGCACTCACTGGGACAGAATTAGGTCCTGAAATTATTTTTCTTCCCATCCTATTCTGATAGGCTACGTTAGTTCTATTAAAAATAGTCCCATATAATCCCATATAATCAACCCCAAATTTTCATCCAGATACCTCACACAGAAGACTAAGTTGCCTCCTAGGCAGGATGGGGATATTGAGATGATCTTCCCCCAGATATTCTTCACAAAAATTGGGTCACTCTGTCTTTTGAGAGACTCCCAGAATTACGGTTTCTTGATGAAGAAACAGTGCAAGAAATTTATCAAGGCTCCTTGGCACCCTGGGGAAATTTTAAATAGATACAAATAGATAAATGAAGTCCCACGTAACCACGGTGATTTTGCTTCTCATTGAACTCATGTTAGTTTTCTTTAACAATGATGACAAGGATAAAGTGCTTCAATACTCATCACCGCCATGGAAATAATTTCCATTAACCTGCTTTAAAAGAATACTGAGAAAACGCACTGTCAAATCTCTTTGATATTAAACCTAAATGGAGAAACCCTTGCTGGACCTTCATATCTTGGTCAGCAGCAGGAATAGTGGGTGGATTATTTGATAGTCTTTATATAGTAGGATAATGGATCTCAGACAAAATCTCAATAGAAAAGTATGTTATTAAAAATCACTTACCAGCGTTAGCTCAATCTGATCCCCATACCTCAGCTTCAAATAAATGTGAACTCCCAGGTTTTTTTGAAACTGGTTCTTTACCAGTTGGAAGCACAAGCCTGTTAGTTCAGCATGTGGATGGAAATTGTCACTGCCTTTACCCTGGTGCTACACCACAATTAGTGACTATGAGGTCTCCCGGCTCCAAGGTTGTGAATCTTCCATGAGTGATAAAACTGACTTTCAAATTTATAAATAAAAAATGAAACTGGATGAAATTCCTTGAAGCTACCAAAAATGGAGAAAGCAAAACCCCTTTGCCCAGCTGGTGATCATTAAAAAAAATTAAATGCATAAAAGTCACAATGGTGGTAATTTATTGGCTTGCTCTAACAGAATATTGTTTAACATACCTGTAATTCATGCTCCAACTCCATTCTTTCATAAGTCATGGTAATTACTACATGTCCCGAGGGGCAAAGAAATACAGAGATCCTCAGTAATAGGCCTTTTGTCTTCTCTTAACAGGACATGCATATTATCAGCACAGATGAGAATCAGGTGTTTGCAGCTGTTCAAGAGTGGAACCAGAATGACACGTACAACCTGTATATCTCGGACACCCGAGGGGTGTACTTCACCCTGGCTTTGGAAAACGTGAAAAGCAGTAGAGGACTGGAGGGGAATATAATCATTGACCTTTATGAGGTATGTAGTAAAGGTCACCCTACAAAGAACAGCAACTGCTTGTTAGTTCAAGCGAGTCTAAATCTCTTACCAGCCCTCCAGGATCTTAATTGTTTTGGGATCAGCCCAGAGGCATTTACTGGGTTTGGTGCTGAGCCAACTTGTGTGGGAATAGATGCAGTGCATTGTGCTATAGGTGTGACATCTGGTTGCTTTCAAGTCAATGACTGGTTAGCTGTGTGTCTTTTCCAAAAGGGAAAACCACTATCCTTCTCATGCTAATGTGGGTGTCTAGAGAAGGACTCAAAATACTGTTGTTCCCCTTGGACAGCTAGAGGCACCTGCGTGAGGGAATGTGGATTCCACCTTTGTGAGCACTGAGCTGTTTCTGAATGATAAGCAAAAGTTTATAGGTATTGTTTGCCCAGATATAACAGCTGGATAACTTCTTCCCTGAATCATCTTCCATTCTCATTCTTCTGCCAGGCCTTTCAGCCTTGGCCAACAGCAGTCCAGTTGTTCTGGTTCCTGGTTTCTTTAGAGCATTCTGGTTCTGGTGTGTCATAAGTAATTAGATGGAAGGTCTGCTGAGATTCGGAGCTCAGTGCTTTGCCAGCAACAACTAATTGATAATACTGATAGTAATGGCTGACTTCTAATGTTACATGGAGAAGTGTTTTTGCTGTTGTAGAGGTTAGAATTATGCATTTATTTATTTCAGCCGTAATAATGCCCTTTTAACAACATCATCAGTTTGTTTATAAAAATCCAGGTAGTTCAAGGCAATGAGGGAAAACTGACAAATAATGCATGGATCAGTATGAAGGAAAGGGTTTACATTTTATTTTAATCTAGTTAAATATATTGTCCTGCCTCTGAAACAAAGATGTATGTCTGTGTTGTGGTGAACCAGCTGAAATAAATTTATATCATCTCCCATTCCTGGGCAAACTCTGTATTCCCCAGCTGTGTATCATGGACATTTCACTGTTAAATGCTGATAAGAGATTTTCAGAGGGTCATTCAAAGGGTGATGTCACTCAGGGTGCTTTAGAGTAGAAGGATTTGTGTCCTGGCTGTTGCCAGAAGATTTGGATTTTCAGCAAGTTCCTTCTTCCTATCTCACTTTCACAGTTGTGCAATGGAGACCAAACTCAACATGAAATCTTTTTGAGTACGTTTTGACAGGACCATATTCTGCTGCAGTGGGTTCTGCTGACAAAAATCAAAACATTTGGAACAACTGGGTTGATTTTGACTGGATTTGGGAGTGGAAAGAAAATGAAGGAATCAAGTTTGCAAAACATCAGTGTTTCAGCATATTCAGGATTTCCATCTCTTGTATGAAAGAAAAAAAAAAGACCACAACAAAAGATCTCGCACTGCTTCTGATGTGACCTGCTGTCTCCCATATTATGGCAATTGGGGGTGGGGTGGGGATACTGGGGCAAACCACATCCTCAGGCTCAAAGAGCTCTGTGTGACATGGTGCGTTATGTACCTTGAAGCTCATCATCAGCCTGTCTGCAAGCACTCAAGGAAGTCCAAAAGTGGGCTGTTTCCTAGGGATCTGCTCTCTGAACATCCTTGGTTTTTTCCTCCAGAGAGAGAGACTGCACGAGGCCTTTCAGCTGTGCAGGCACCATCAAGATGTACTTGTAATGCCATTCACAGTCTTTTAAGGCTGGATTGAGATTACTTTATTGCTTTTTCAGAGACCTTCCACTCCTGAGAGTGCTCAGGTGGGCCTTATTTTTGGCCTCCTCTTCCAATGTATTTTTTCATCTCTCTCTTTTTTTCCTAGGTAGCAGGGATCAAAGGCATATTCCTGGCTAACAGGAAGATAGATGACCAAATCAAGACTTTCATTACCTACAACAAGGGTAGAGACTGGCGTTTGCTGCAGGCACCAGACACTGATCTAAGAGGGCATCCTGTAGTTTGCCAGCTGGTGAGTGGCAGATCTTTTCCAAGCAGAAAAGCAGCAGAGCTGCTTATTTAAGTCACTGGGTTAACAAAACTCTCATTGTTTTTTCTCTTGACATTGTGGGTGTTAAGTCAATTAATAAGATTTCTTTTTTCTATAGCTTCATAGATTTTAAGGGTTAATTCTGACTATCTTTCTTGACCTTGTTTATGGAACTCAAGTCAGAATAAGAAAGTTTCTGAGGAAAAGTGTTCTAGATCAAATTGTTGGTAAAAACAAGTGCAGATATGCTTGCTTGTAATGCAGCTTTCCTGCTTCTCTTGCTCCTAGCTACTTTTATGATGCTTGTTCAGAAAATGAACATATGCTGCTATTTGTAACAGTGCTAAGAGCAGAGGGGTCATTTTCAGAAGGATTGGAGCATCTGTGTACAATCGCCAAGGGTTCCTCTGATATTTAAGTTGTTGCATATTAAAGCTTCTGCCTTTTATTTGTTTCCTGTCAACAGCCCTTTTGCTCACTGCACTTACATCTACAACTCTCAGAGAATCCATATACTTCAGGAAGCATTTCCAGCAAAGAGACAGCTCCTGGGCTGCTGGTAGCAACAGGTAAGAACATAAGTGCTTCTCACCCCTCACCCATGCCTTACTGGGAGCCTGAGAGTATATGAGATGGTTTGTGTTGGTGTAAAAGCTTTCAGCTCTGTTTCAGCAAGTGCCCAGCTAATTCACGTTAACTCCCATTTGCTAGGGGCTAGGAGAAGAGATGGGGCCCCTGACTTCAGGAACAGCAATGCCTGTCAGGTATTTGTTGCTCTACAGTAACCCGTATTCAGGTCTAAGCCCAGACGTGTAAGGGATCATTACCAACTGGCATTACTAACTCCTCTCACTTGACATTGTTACAACCACTGCTGTGGGTGTCTACCCATTTGCTGGAGTTAATATGAATGAGAATAGGACCTATAATCATGGCTATGCTCCTAGAAGATGTCAGTACATTCCACCTTTTGAGCAGCAGGCACAGAGTTGTCACAAAGCCTGTTGGGTGAAGCCTGGACTTTGTGAGTGCCTGTCTTGTCCATAGCACCTACTTTCAGCACTGTATTGCTCCAAGACTAGCAGCACTTTATCAGCACTGCATGGGTCATTGTTATTGTGGGTTGTTCTGCAAAATAGTTCTTTGGCAGGTTGTGATGTTTTAATGGCAACCTGCTACAGTGCTTCATGGGGGCAATGGCTGACCCATTGTAATTAATCTGACAACCATCACAGGTCCTGTGTTCACACAGCTTGCAGCCTAATCAGGATGGATGGGGCTACCAACCACACTCAGAACTCCCATGCGCTCTGTGGGAGCTGCTGAGCTACCAAAGTGCTTTGTGAATGGCTGATGTTATTGAAAGCTGGCCTCTGAGGCACGTAGGCTGTCCTACCTTTCACAGGGAGGCTCCAACATATGCTCAAATATGCCCAAATAACATAACCATTCTTTCTAAGGCTCAGTTTATCTCCTTTGTCTTGTTCAGCCTACCAGTGGCTTGCAAGTGTGTCATGTTAGTGTATTGCCCATATAAATTTACGCTGTTTCTTCCAACGATTTCTATTCTCATGTCCTTCTGTGCTTCCGTGTGTCTGCTAGACTAAGCCAGAACCTGAGAGACAGGTTCCCTTCATGACATTTATATCTCAACACGGGAAGCACTGATTTCCAGTTCACTGATCCAGGCTGAATAGGGTGAGATAATTTGATTTAAACCTCCATATCTTCCTATGCATAGCCAAGTGGAGTCATCATTCCTGGCAGGTCACACTTGCTAGGTGGATGCTTAGGACCAAGCCCTGCTTATGATGCTGTGGTTGCAGAGGCTTTTTTTCTTTAACCTTTTAGGAAGCAAATAGAGGCAGCAGGACAGTGAGATTCTAGGCATTGATCTAAATTGTTAGTAAATGAGGTTCTTTTCAAGCTGTCAGTACATGGGATGAATGCTTTCCCAGTCTAACAATTAACCTTTAAAAGGCAGAATATAATTTTTGTGTTACTGCTTTGTGCGATAAAAAGCTTAACCTGTTGGGAATATACACATCTGTTTCCACTAACCAGTTTCACAATAACAGGAACGTCTCACCATGTTGGTGAATGCGTTCCAGGATAAGCATTGCAACTTGTTCTCACAGGCACTGGCTGCTCTGTGTCATGCCATTTGATTTACAGTGGTACACTTCCAGCAATAACTGGAAACTCAGACTCTTGATATGAAGACAGAGGTTATATTCTTGCAAAGGGAAGAATTATGTTTTAGTGTCTATTTGTCCAGCTGCCAAATCCTCTTGACTTGTTCAGGAGTTAGTAATGTTTGGTGAGGTTTGAATCTGTGTAGTTGAAAGAAACTAGATGGGGAGAGTAAAGCAAATAATAGCACAGGTTTGCACAGAAAAACAGACAGAAGGAAGAGATAGCAACAGCATCTCACCTTTTTACTCTTTCGCTGCCACAGTCTGGAAATCCCTGTTTAGAAAGTTGGCTTTCCAGTTTTGATATTTAAAATATGATGATACAAAACTTACACTTCTGCCTTTAAGTCAGTTTCTAATTATTGAGGAATTTCACTCATGATAAGACACGGGACTAAACAGACTTTTGCGCTGACACAGTAGATTTATCCTTGTGAACCTGGATGTCCATATAGACTGTCCTTCTATATGGTTGCCCATGGCAGGTTTTCCTTCTACCTTCATCTAAAGCAGTTGATCACTCTCGCTGGTGTCAGGGAAGAAGATCAATTAGATGGACAGCGTGACATTTCCTACTTCCTGGGCACTGATGGAAAAGCCTTTCTTGAATTCTCCTGCCTTCCTGAACCAGAAATTTTATTTTCTGAAACAGTGGTGTCACAATGATGTCGCTAGTTGGATTCCATGGTGGTGACAGGAGAGCGTCAACCCACATCTGGGTTTTAATTTCTCATTTTGCAGCATTAAATGTCAGAAATTTAATTAACATTTTCATTAGTGTGTTTTTATTATGCTCTTGTTGATGCTACAGATGTGTAAGAGTGCCACCTCTCCCTTTGCTGTTTTTGGAGAAAAATATTAGTTCTCCCATCCTTCCATGGAAATTACACCTGCTTTAAAAACCATCTAATTTGGAAGATGTAAGAGTGGCTCACTAGGTAAAAAATTCTTGGGCTTTGAATAAAGAAGTCATGGGTTTGACCACAATATGGTGGCTGTGGGCCATTATTGTTGAGAGGCCTTCTGGTGGAGTATCTGTAAGTGGAACATCTGCCTGCTTCCTATGGGACAGCTGTTCATACCAACAGAACCCCACCCACAATGACTGAAGTTACTATTAACAGACCAGCAGAAAAAATAGTTCCTGGGTGACTGTGGTAGCTTTTTCTTGAACCAGTGGGTGCATTGGGAAGTAAGGAGGTGAGAATAAATTAATTTAGAGCAGACCTGCATTGTTCAGTGAGCCTGATTTTAACTCTGTGTTGATTTTAACTCTCGAAACAGAAGCAAGATGCTGACCTCAGGGCAGCATGGGGAATAAGGTCTATCCAGGGCTTGTGCAAGTTTTTCAGATATTGAGCATCTCTCTCTTGCAACTATTGATGGATGCTCAGAGGTTCCAGAGAGCTGGGGATTTAGTCCAAGTTCATTATTTACTCTGTATTAAGGTTTATCACTGTAAGATTTGAGATTCTCTCTGCTGTCTCAGATGGGGGACCTTGGGGGAAAAAAAAACCTATTTCAAGCTCTGACGTAGTGTCTCCAAATGGTGTTCTGCTGTACTTTCTCTATATATGGTTGAGGTTGACGTTTTCGTTTGCATTGCTTTGAGGTGTGGCATATCCATTCCCTAATGCATGGTGAGGGCAGAGTAGTCCACCCTATAAGGCTGTAGGCAGAACACTTTTCGTCATAATGGAAATTACAAAATTAAAATTAAGAACTGTACCAAGTAACCAGTAAGTTTAAACTCACAAGTTGGGACAGCTAGGTCAATGCGAAAAATTGATATTGTCTAGAATGCTGTTCAGTTTGGTCTCTACCTCTCTGCTACAAAGTCATTTGACCCACCTTAGTTCTCTGAACCGTTTCTGCCCCCAGATGAGTTTCATACCTAAACAAACAAGATTTCCTTCAAGTGGAACTCATATTTCATTACACCACAGTCCTCATTAATTGCAAACCATTCATAAACCTAGGAAGAAGCTTTGTTTATTTGACTGCAGGTTCTGAGATGAGTTTGAGCATTTTGGCAGACTCTCAAATAGACTTTCTAGGCCCATAATCATGGGCTTCAGTGGGGCCTGGGTTTCACCTTTAAACTCAGACGTATGAGTAACTTCTCTTTGGATGCTCTCCTTTACACAAGACATAGAGACAGAGGTAATTACCTTACCTTTGGCAAAGACTGGTAGATGACAGAGATGCAACTCTCCAGCGAGAGCACAAAGGCTGCAAGTTCAGAGAAAGATGTGTATGGTAGCTGGGGACAGTGGCCACTATTCTGCTGCCATTCTGATTATTAGTTTGCACCAAATGAGCATGGGTTTTCATACACAGATTTTCAAATATGTAGGTCCCTGCCTGGAACAAGCCTGCCCATAGCGGCTTGCAATTATGGGCAATGATATCCGCTGAGAAAATGAGCTGATAATACTGTTTCTCCCCAGCATCAATTTTCAAATGGCATAGCTCTTGTAAGTGAATGTTGCCACCTGGCCATAGTGTTGTTTTTAGATGACAAAATAAACAAGAACAGCAAGGAAGCACTGGTCAGGCCAAGTAATTTTGGTTTCTTGGGAAAATACAGTTCTGTGTTTGTCCGTACAAGAATGTCTGACACTTGCTTGTGTTGCAGGCAATGTTGGCTCTGAGCTTTCCTACACTGATGTTGGAGTGTTCATCTCTTCTGATGGCGGAAATTCCTGGAGACAGGTATGTTTTTCAGAACCAAGGAAAACATGGAAACTTTTGCTATGCTTCTTCTGAGTCTTCCCTTCCTAGTGGAGTGGAGCACTCATGCAGTACCTGATTTGTTTGCAGATCTTCGAGGAGGAGTACAATGTGTGGTTTCTGGACTGGGGAGGGGCACTGGTGGCCATGAAACACACGTCAGTGCCCATCCGGCATATGTGGTAAGGAAACTTGTTACTTTGAGAAGGTTTTCTGATGGGGATAAGCTGACAGTTGTGCTAATATCTCTAGCATCACCTAGTCAAGATCTGCTAATTAGATCACTGTTATCTGTATTTTACCGTATTGTTTTGTTGATTAATATAATGATTACTGTACTGTTTTATAAATATAATGGCTATATACATAACCACACACATATATGAATTACTCTTTGCACTATTAATGTACTATGAGACTTCAGGTGGGGTTATTTTCCCACAGACGCATATATACTGAATAAGAAGTCATCCTTTATGCTTCAGGTATTTCTAAGAGGATGTAGCCCTCACTTCTGCTTTTTATTTACAGAATCTAGTATTAAACTGGTAAGACGGATAAAGGAAGCAAGAGGAGAGTGCAGTAGGTATTGATAAGGACAATAGAGATGTGTTGCTAACGTTGCTGTCTCCTATAGGATTCCACTATCAATTTCCAGAGATACAGTGGTGGCAACTGAATATAGTTGGATATGGAATAGGGCAAAATGATTTCTCCATTGAAGATACTGTTTTGCTATAAATGGGTTATAACAGTCTAAGCACTAAAGATACTACTCAAAATTATCCTCTCCTTAACCTTTGCCCCTCTCGCTCCTGCACCAGCTAAGCATTAGAGAGAGAGGCATTCAGAAATTCAAAGCTAACCTGGTTTACAGAAAATGTGTATACTAGCATCACCTTCAGTCTCTGGGCTTGAGTGAAAGAGGGGCATGGCTAATGGACTGACCTACCCAGCTTCTAATGTTGGTTAGAAGTGAATTAGTTAGAAATAGCCTTCAGAGACAAGATTTGTGTTCCTGTCTGCAAGATCAAGTAATTTCTCAGCTTGATGGTGCTAAGCACATCTCTATCTCATGCTCTTCATGCAGAACAGGAGATGTGGCCTTCAGTCAAATAGAAAAAGAAAGCAATGGTGTTTGGCAGCAGTGGTGAGGTCTCCTCTACCTGAGTCATTATTGTATAAAATCCTTCAGTTAAATTACAGTCATTCAGAAGCTGGAGACCTCAAGACAGGCTGTCTTTACCCATCACAAGCTAATGTTCCAGAGATGTGCCTTAAAAACATTAATGGCTACTTTTTCAATATTAAAAGCTTCTGGACGTTATGTTCCTGACCTGACAGATAACTCTGGGATGACTGCAACATAGATTTCTATTAAAGTTTGAATATGTTGCATTTCAGCACATTTCTTGACCACCTGAGCTAAAGAAATGACTTTTATTGTTGACGTGCTAGTGGCTTGTTAATCACAAGATGTACTGGCTCACATTCCTAAGGCTTTGTAATTTTTCTAGGATAGGGAAACCAAGTGTGCTCTGAGAGGTCTGTGCCTGCCTGTGGGATTACAAGCAAGTCACTATATGCAAAATGAGGGTTGAGATCTTTGTCTTGCTTTCTAGTGTTCAGGAAGCAGGTGGTTTGTTTTATCATAAGCGAGCTTGTTGCAGTCATAACTTAGTATACTAAGTCAGGGCCAGGGGTTAGTCTAGGCCAGCATCCTCTTGCCAACAGCCTCCATAACTGGACATAAAGAGGACAGTAGTAACAGGGTAGACCCATAATGATGTTTCCAGCAGACTCCAGCTTTCTGTCTGTGGATAGAATGTGTTGTGTGAATAGTAACGTATACCTCTGAAAGGTAACTCAGTAGTCATGACTGTACCTGAAGTGCCCTCAGGAAAGGGGACATCAAGACCATGTCAAAGTCTTTTCACCAAACCAGGTATGAACCAAGGCAGGAGAAGTGTGTGTTAGCCAAGAGTAGGTGTCACCAGCAGGTACATGAGGCTGTGGCAAGTTTTACTCTGGAAGAGTGAAAGGTGAGCTGCTTATTGAAAGAGCTGTAAGTCGTGTATTCTCCATTTATTACTATATTATTCAACCCAGGTGTAACTGTTTTGTGTCTTGCCTTGTGAAGGCTCTTTGGATGTAAAAAGCATGTGACATATAAGTGCCTGTACTTAGATGTTGGGAAAGATTTGGTCACAGGTTGATTTCCATAGGAGCTGAGAGTCCAGGTCACGTTTGTTTGCTTTGCAGAGGTTCCTTTCAGGTTTTCTCCCTTTCCACTAAGTCTCATGAAATGGCACGTGCCATACTATGAGTGCCCTACCTGCTCTATTAAATGGCTAGTGATTTAGAGCTGTTATCAATAGGCTCCAACAGGCTTCCTCCAAAATTGTACCCTTAGGGGCTTTAGAATTTGCTTCATATTGCCTCAGTAGGCACCTGTTTTATGGGCAGGAGTGGAATAGATTAAAGGGTACATGTATATCTGTTGGTTCTCAGGCTTAGACATTGTACAATAAGTCTCATCCTGGAGAAAAGAGGGGCGGATAATTGAAAAGCCGAGAGAACTTTAGCTAAGCTAATGAAGCATGCTGTTCCTCAGAAACTGAAATGCTATTTAGATAGATAAGCATGCAAGCAGAACAGCATACAAATGCACAGGTGTATGGGGAGATACACACATTTAAATAAATAGATGTAGGGCAGATAAACTTTTTTGTATCCTATTGTACTCCTAGCTTTCTGTCTTTAGTCTATAGTCAGCTTCCTATTCTGGCAGATGTGCATTGTGAATCAGGTGAAGGTATTTTGCTAGGTGCTGTGAGAGGCAGATACTTAGGGAATGGTGACTGCAAGCCTTGGCTTTCCACACTAGACATCCAAGATTTTTGTAACCCATTGCTTGGTAATACATATTACACTGGCCCCCTGGTCCTTTGGTGGCATCTCAGATAGTGTCCCTGATGCTACTTGGAGTGGGGAGTATTTCAGTTTCCAGGAAGGCAGTCTTGGACAAATCCAGGTGCTCAGGTGCATGCGCATACACATGGCATGCACAACCCCCTTAAACTTTCCTCGCCTGGAAAACAATGCAAACTTCTTTTTTACACTCACTTTAAAATGAGGATTGTTTCCTGCTATTCAAAGAAGTTTTTGCCATGATTGTCTCTTCGGTAATGTCCATCGAGAGTAATCTGTCAGCCTTCACAGCCCAGGTACCTCACAGAATTACAGAGAACTCTGTAATGACCCTGCTGGGAGAGGATCAAATAATTTTTATATCCAATAAACCTATATGCTTCTCTGTTTGTTTGTTCTTCCTTTGCTGGTAGAATTTGGAGCTGAAAATCTGGTCAGAAATTGTGTGGGAGTAGTTGTGTGGAGGCTCTGGGGGCAGAGAGAAAGTTGGTTGCTTTCAGAACTGTTCCTGGGCAGCAGCTCTGGGAGCTGGATGCTGACAGCCTGCAGGTTACCTGCCTTTCGTGCTGCAGTAGCAGCTGGGTATGCACACCTTCCTCTGGCTGTTTTCTGTGCTGTTTTGGGCACAGGGTGTCAGGGTGACATGAGGGCTGGGAGGCCAGGAGCCAACTGAGGTCCCTGGGACAGCAGGTGCCACAGGGTCTTGCAGCCAGGACCCATCGTACCCTCCCACCCCCCAGCTAGGATCAGGGCAGCCAGGGACAGCCCAGCCCTGCACATCAGGCAGCTCTCTGGGGACAGGGATGGGCTGGGGCCAGGCTGGGACATTAACCTGTGTGTCATGCTCATGGCTGGTCAGGGCTGTGGCAGAGCTACAGCCTGGCATTTCTCTGGAGTCATAGAATCACAGAATGGTTTGAGTTGGAAGGGACCTTAAAGATCATCTAGTTCTAACCCCTCTGCCATGGACAGGGACACCTTCCACTGGACCAGGTTGCTCAAAGCCTCATCCAACCTCAGTGGAGCTCTTGGGCCAAGGATGGGGTGGGGGGAGGTCATGAGACAGTCTGGGAAGGAGCACTAAGGCAGAGACCACCGGAGTCCTGACCCAGTCTTCTGGTGGGGTCAGTTAGATGTTCATTCACTTACTCCTTTGCAGTTGTCAGAGATGGAGTGGTTGCTGGGGTGCAGCTGAGAGCAGGGTTTGCTAACCCTCCTCCACTAATCTGAAAGCCTGTTGTACTAACTCTAATTCAACCAAGACCCTGTCAGCTGGGTTGGGATACACATGCTCTTTGCTAAAAACAGAGAGTGGTGGTTGTGGGTAGGGACAGATGACCAAAAGCCACTGAGTTACCTTGGTTTGTCACTGGCAGTGTGAACACTCTCAGCCTCTAAGAAGGGAAATGCTTTGATTTTAACCAGCACACAACTTTGCTTTACACCTGCTGTAACAGGCAAAGAGCAGCCAGGCTAAGCACTGTCTGTGGCTCAGTTTGGCCACCTTCCTCCACCTTTCTGTAAAATGGAGACCACCTCTGTAATGGCATGCAAAGAAGTATTAGTAGGGCTAGAGAGAGTGTAGCTAATCCCATATGGCACTGATACACACATGGGCTGAAATGTTCTGTGTTGACAGCAATTTTCATGTGTTCAGGCCAGGGCTGCTTATGCTCTGGGTGATGCCTTGGGTGAGGTGCTATTGTAGATCCAGGAACAGGACTTGGCAGTACCCCTTGATCCCTTGAGGTCTGATGTACAGCTGGATCAAGTATATCTATGACCTTATTGCCAGTATTTATACTTTCTAAGGGTTTGATCTTTCAAAGTACACCAAGAGCATGACTTAGTGGGCTGGGAAATGGCAAAGACTGGTGCTTGTCTATAAATCTATCTGCTTGGAGCTTGCAGACTTTAGCCAACATTTAATTGCTGCAGTTGCTCTGGAGTAAGTCTTTTTATGTCTACAAATCTTGTTTGCTTCTGTCCCAGGGTGAGTTTTGATGAGGGAAGATCCTGGAGTAAATACAGTTTCACATCAACACCGCTTTTTGTGGATGGATCACTCGTAGACCCTGGCATAGAGACCGAGATAATGACGTAAGTATAGCAGCTCTTAACTTTTTAAAAATGTGATGGCAGAAGGGGTGTGTGGAGATCCTCAAGTGCATGGTGAGCCTCATGGTGTGCAATGCAGTGTGATGTAGCTACACGTGGAGTGTTGCATGAAGGCATGGTGCCGTTTTGTGGTTTTTGCTGATGGTCACAGACCCAGGTGGAGTGTCCATGCATCAGGTGGCCAAGAGATGATGGAGTCAAACTCTTCTCAGTAGTAGCAGGGTAAATAACAAGGAGAGACGATCCCAAGCTGTAGCTTGTGAGTTCAGATAGGACGGTATGTAAATCTGCTTCTCTGGGGAGCGGTGTAGCCCTGGTCAGGTTACAGAGAAGTTGTGGTATCACCGTCCCTGGGAAGTTTTCAAGTCTCGGCTAGATGAAGCCACATATGCCCTGATCTGCAGTTGGTGACAGTCTGTTTTGGAGCAAGAGCTTGGACTAGTGACATCCAGAGGTCCCTTCTCATAAATACTGCTGAGATTGTGTTCCTTGGATCTGATGGCCCAGGGGCTGCAGTGCTCTTCAGAGGCCAGAAATCTGTATTGGTTGCACCTAATGTCACTTCTGTGCTTCCTCCGGTTGCAGCTTGACTGTCTTTTGAGATTGCTGCTGGGTATGCATATCAGCAAACCTCATTGCTTGCTATTGGCATTGTGGGCTGTACATCTGGTTTTAGCTCAAGCTAAAGGTGTTCTCAGTGTGCATATGTGGAGCTGAGCTTGGAATAACTTTCCTGGTCTGGGGTGTAGTATGCTATGATTCACCCATACCATGAAAGGAAGAGTCTGGGCTGGCACTGAAGGTGCTTGGAGCTTCCTCCTCCCAAGACTTCTGAAGTGCTGGGTAGGGCTGGTGGAGTTGGTGTAGTAATGTTGGCCCAAAAACAGGGCAGGATCTGAGTTTAGCAACCAGGGGAGAAAGGGGACCTTATAAATTCAAAGGCATCTTGAAAGAGTCATCCAGCCTCTAGTACAAAGCAGATCAGAGCGCTCTGCTCTGGGATTCTGAACAAAGCCAGGACGAGATGCACTGCCTTCATTGCTTGCTGAGGTGCCTTCTTACCTGTATTTTCTCTGAGCTGGCTTGAACAGATTTCTGAAAAGGATCAGAAAGCGAAGTGGCTAAGATGCCTTAGACTGAGGCATGCCTGAGAAGCATATCTGCAGTGGCACGAAGGAATGCCTTTGGTTAATCACATCAGACACTTGCAGCACTCCAACTCAGGGGCAGGAGATAAACTATAAATTTCACCTTGCAGTTGTTTTGCTTTTCCTGCTGTCTGCACCTGTATCTGAAGTTCCTGCAGATTTTCACTGCTTGCAAGAGAAAAGAGATTCAGGCTACTAGGCTTTAGTCCATCTGCCTACTTATGTGGTAGAAATGCGTAGGTGGATCTCATTGGTGGTGTCACAGGTAGTGGCAGACTGAGAGTAGACTGCTGGGTATGCTTGTCATCAGTTTTTGAGGAAGCTTGGATCAGATAACAGTTGTGTGTCTTGGGTATTTCTGCTAGTAACTCGAATTTATTCCAACTGGGTTGTGTGACTTGTGTTGCTATGCCTTTCAAAAAGCAGGCATACATCAGCCTTACACAAACAGTTACTATGTGGTGAGGAGCGGTCTGTACTTGCAGTAAAGCTCACCTTAGCTGCAAGAAAGTGGCTGGGGGAAAATCCTCTTCTGACAAAGGGTCATTTGAGCTGGCTTCTTTGCCATCTGTGCCATGACACAAGTGAGCCTTTTCGCAAGACTGCTGTTAGCATTATCTTGGGGAAATACATTACAATCCCCAGCTAAAGATTAGAGCCTGCATTCTGTTCACTCTATACATTTTTCTCCAAATGCATCAATCACATGTCACTTTCTGTGTTAGGTTAGTACGGTGTTTTTATGTGAAATTCTTTATGCAATGAGCAATGTTTATCACTTTCCAACCACATACACCTGCAAATACAGAGACACACACACTTGCAGAGAGATGGATCTGGGCTCAAATACGTCTGCACATCAGCACCTTCATTGAAATCAATGGAGCTAATCAGTTTCAACTAGCTGTGGTTTTAGCCCATTTACTTTATAAATCAATGCAGTTCTCTTTTGAGATGAAAGATGCATTTTAGATCTAAGGTTATTGTTACTTATATCTCCTTAGTCTTCTGATGGAAAATGTAGGATGTGAGTTATGTTGCTGAATATATCAGCTTTGTTGAGAGCTGACTCTTTTTCTTTTGAAATCTTTGCAGATGTGTTATTATTGCTATTGTTATGAGTATTGTTTGTATTATAACTGTCATCATTAGTGATTTTTAAAACTATTCTTAATAGTCTGTAAAAGCTAATTTTACATGATACTTGCCATAAATGTTTAGAGAAATTCCTGTCCACAGTGTTAGAGGAACCAAGGAGGAAAGAGCCCATTTATAAAGCCTGTATGCAAACCATTTCTATGGAGATCATTTGGGTATTTCTCACAATGAGAGTTTTAGTGAACTCGTCTATAAGGGCAGTGTACGATTTTGCTGATGTGTGGAAGCTTTGGCTGAGAAGAAATCAATGCCTCTCTGTTGCTACTGGCCATCCTCGGAACCAGGATAACACATGGTGGTTGGAGGTACGTGGAATTTGTGTTTGTGGGTAGAAATCACAATGATTTCAAGAAACTGATGAGAGGAGCACAACGGTTTGGGATTCACATCCCCCATCTGACAATGGGATCAGTGGGAGCTCATAGAGTAGAAGCAGAACTGAGGCAGAGAGAGCAAGACTGTGTACCGCCAAACTGGGTGGGTTAGTGGCTTTTAAAGGTCTGTCTTTCATCCTGGAAAATGCAAAATAATTTATCTAGTGGTCTCAGCTGATTCCTGTTAGGGAAAATTTCCTCCATGATTTGCATCAAAGTGGTCTGTGTTCAACTGCTTCCAAAAAAAACAACATTCTGAGGGGAATGTGTATTAAGTAGGAATTTTACTCCAACTGTTATTAACATATTGCATTATTAACAATATCATCATAATACTGTCTTATTAAAATCAATATATCAGTAGAATGACTATTATTCCCAACCTTCATTTTGTTGCACATCCTGTGAGGGCCTCTCTGGGCTGCAGGAAGCAGCAACACTTTTAGTGTGGAATTTAATACCACTTCATGGCTGTTATGTGAGCAGTTGCGGTATCTGTCTGTATTGTACAAAGACCCTGGGCTTTTCAGATCTTCTCTGCTTTGTGCTGTGTTACTAAGTCCTAAGGAACTTACCAGTGTGGTAAAATCTGTAGATTTGCATGTAGGGACATTATAAGATTCTGAACATCCTAGTGCAGTTTGAATTGGGATCTGCTTTTAGTGGAGAATTGAACAAGATGTCTTGCAGAGGTCTGTTCCAAACTAAATTATTTTATGATTTTGTTATTTCATATGGCCTATAAGGGTGCAAGAATGAATTATTTCCTTACAAGCATAGCTGAGTGGCTCTGGTAAGAATGCAGTTTTGTGACACACAGGGAAATACCACGAGACTGTGTGAGCTGGTCTAACTTGGAGCTCCTGCCTAACCAAGGTGAATCCACTCTCCCTTCCTCCATTCCTGGCTTATCATCCACCTCTCCAGTTCTTTCAGCTGTTGTTTTGACACTCATCTGGTCAGTTCAGCTCCCCTAGTGTCACAGCACTCCAAGAGGTGTGTACCAAAGCACATCGCAGTGTTTGGTGCAGGTGTGAGGAAAGCAGCTCTAGAAAACAGTGTTCTTTAGGAAAATAACTCAAATGCCCAAGGGCAATGGGTTAGGCACGTTCTTAGGTGACCCAATGGGTGCCTAGAAAGCACTAGTCTTTTTAAAGTCTACAGTTTTCTAACTGTCCTATTGCCCTCACTGGTGACTAGTGTATCTTTTAATGATTTCATGTTCTAATGGGTCAGATCTAACATTTCTGTGTTGACAAGCCAGAGGCACAGCGAGGAACTTGCCTGAGGTTGTCCACCAGGGGAAAGGAATCGAATTGTCTTCCCCTTCTTGTCAATTGTCATATATCCGAACAGAAGCAGTATTTGCTCGAGAGACTTGGTAGTCTGTACCATTCAAATCAGAGACAAGATGTTTTTGTGGGTCCAGAGAAGGGCTTTATGTTGTTCCAGCTCTGACTCATAATTATAACCCCCGCCACTTCATCTCCAGTGCTAAGCATCTCTCTAAACCTACATAAATAACTTTTTTGCTTCACAGCCCAGCAGGGCTTTGCTATCATTTTAGTAGACTCGTTATAAATACTTGTGTGTGCAGACACTCATTTATAGATGAGGATCATTAATTTTGTCTGTGCTGATAAATATATATTTGTTTAGACACACCCACATGTGTGTATATAAATATATACATGTTTCTATGTGTGATACTTAATGATCCATGTATGTCTCTGTATGCATCATTGAGCATTAATGTTTTCAGTGAGAGGATTTAATACGAGCTGGTCTGCCAGCATTGCTGTGACTGCTGCCCTTGGCTATGTGTATGTTAAAAGATGTTCCTGGTTGTAAATTAATAGGTTATGAGCCCTGGCCCTTTCTAACACCTTCTCGTTTACATGGCCATGCAGCTTTACCGGAGATGAAGTGGGAGCTTTTTTTTTCCAGGGGACCCATAAAATTACTGGCAATCCATCACTGGATGGCAGAAGAATGGGGCAGAATGAATAAGTAATTGAGAAATGTTGGAAAAGGAGAGATGGATGCCAGCAGAGGTTTGAGGTGAGAAAGAGAGCATTAAGAGCACAGGCCGTACTGAGTCAGACCAGAGGTCCCTCTGGCTCAGTTCTGTTCTCCAACAGTGGCAAGTAGAGGATGCTAAAAATATGCATTAAAAAAAAAAAAAAACCACTACTCATACACTTCTCTCATTTACAGAGTTTTGCAGATAAAGGCCTTTCTTGGTCTTTTTTGTATTTCTTGTATTTTTAAGACGTTCATGACTTTTTCTATTTTTTGAGGC